TTAAAAAATTCACATTTGTGGAGCTATGATAACAGAATGTTTGCTTAAGAATGACCTGCAGCTTTACTTGATTATTAAGACTGTTGTTCATTAATTTCTGTTGATCGAAAAATCATTTCTCTTATACTCTCAGGTACCTTACTGCTGGAATAATCATTGCGCCTTTGTACAATTGTGAAGCTGCCCTTCATGAACCTGGCTCCTGCTACACTGTCTAATCAATCTCAGGCTCTAAATTACCATTCATCTAGTTTACTGATTGAATAAATTACACATAAGTAATGGGCTTTTAGAAATATTCTGTGTACAATCATGTTTTCATTATGTTACCCTTCAGTGTTTTAATTCACAATTAAATCTCATTCTGTTGTTGGTTAATAATACCCACACCTACAGTACTAGACAGAATGTGTGTTCACAGCAGATTGATAAGCAGAACATTTAAGGCACAAAGGGAGATATTTCCTGAGGTTTTGGTGCTAAACAGTGAAATTGTGTGTTCATATTTACTAAGGAGTGGCAGTGGGGTTTTGGTGGAGAGAAACTGATGAGATGTGGCTTTGCAGGAATTTGCATTTTTGGTCTCATGCGTTGTGCATTTTAAAGTGTTCCTGTACAGAATCAGGGAGGAGGGAATGGAAATTTATACAGATACCCTCAGCACCTGATTTACCACGGCTGCGACCTGCGGGAACTGCGGCTGAAATTTAACATCAAGAGAAATTGTGTGTAAAATTTGCAGCGCCAAACTAAGTGTAGCAGCTGTTAGTTAACTGAGATCTCATTAGAATTAACATCTTTGAGGAGGGAGTGGCTGTAAACCACATCGCTCGCCAGCAGAGAATGTCAGGGACTTTTACAGGCTTTCAGGTTTCAGACCATGTTTGTTTGACTGGAGACTACGTGACTGCCGTTTCAAAATATGTTTGTAGATTTCCTCAACCATATTAAAGTTTGCTCTCTGTAAACTTTCTTCTACACTTCCTCTCATTTAGTAAATATCCACCCAAATGTCACTGTATATTTTGATAGTTTACTATGTAAAGACATTTTCTGGCTAGAACTGTTGTGGTCCAAATAGCCATCAATCAGACTAAATATGAATCATTTGTAATGTTGGAAACTAACTGTTGTAAATGTTGGCAAATGTACTGTATATGCACATGCTGTCAAGTGGGTGTAGAAGGATTTAGGATGACTTGAGGCCTATGGATGTGTTCAGGAATCAGATAAAACTGATTTAGGGACTGCAGTGACACTTGCCACTCGCCCACAGTTGGTTAGTGAATGGAGCTGCCCTTCTGCTTGTCCTTTCTGTATTTATGGAAGTGTTTTTTATTGCTCAGTGGCAGCAACTGCTTATTAACCTCATTATTCCTTCATATGATGGGCTGCAAGTGTAATTTAGGATTGATTTAAAATCTTATTGAGCTCCTGTAATGCAACTGTTGGACCACGGCCCAGCTTTATTTTTAAGCTTTTTTTTTTTTCACTGTAATATTTTTAAACTACTGAAAGAAAAAATAGATGGTGTCAGACAATGAATGGCCCAGCTCAACTTTTTAACCAGGACAATGTCATCACATTGAATGCATGCACATCGTTGAACTGAGCTACCAGGACAAGAGCAACACTTTTACCCAGTTTTCTTTCTGGGATGCTGGATCCAGAGGCCACAAGAAAAACATAAAAGAAAATTAACAATGAAGGTTAAAGTTTTGCCCACAAATGATTTGAAGTCTGAGCTAGGGTGTTGCTGACAGCACTTCAAAATCAGTTGTTTTCTGGTCGACCATTTAGTTTTAAACAGTTTACTATTCTTAAAATCACAATATTTCTCGAACTTTATCCTCTGCAGGTAGTGCAAGTGTTAAACTTGCACCAGCTGCAACATTAATATCTCTGCATATGCAGGTCTCAAGTCCTGCTGTCATTAGTTTGCTTCCCTACAGGTGTCACAGACTGGCATTTGTGGAAATGCTCTGACTGCATTGCTCTCTCTTGTGGAGAATCTGCAGCCTTCGATGTGAATGTGTGAGTTTGTGTGTGACTCACATTGTAGGATTAGGAACGAATGATAAAAAAAAGAAACGTATTGATTTTAGTGGGGCTACTGATGGGATGAATTTTTAATCAGGTGGTGTCACTTGCAAAAAAAAACTGTTTTCCTGGAGTCTTGTACTGTAGGACAATGATTAGGGCCCCCTAAACTCTGGAAGGGCAGGGTGAAATCGGGTGACTCACTCACCGTTCTTCTTTAAATGCAGTTTTTACACTGGCTGGTAAAACAGTTAAGTGCTTCTTCAAATGTAAACAATGTGAATACATTTAAAGTTGCAACATAATGGCAAATCCCTTTAAAAATGACATAAATACTGTAGGTACATTGGCTGAAGTGTGCTAGTTTGTGTGTTCATCTGTCTACTTGCAGTATGCATTGTAATGAGTAGCACTGAAGTAGGAAGGAAATAGTGGTATGTTAGTGATGAAACATATGCTTGAGCTACAGTATATGATTGGAAATGGTGATGTGAGAACTGGTGTAGCTGGAAATCCTGAGGCAGGAGTAAATAATCTCCTTTATTACACATGACTCTGCTACGTTTGCTTCAGATCCCAGGCTCTTAATGGATGAGAATAAATACAGACACACACGCACACACAGAGAGACCAGCAACACACACGTTGCAGAGGGAACACGAGCAGCACTGCAGTGAAATTGCACCAGCCATGCCCTGATGTAACCAGATCGTTTCCTGCATGTGAGCTGAAATCTAGTTTTCTTCGCATCAGTAATACAACATGAACTCATAGGCATGTTTCCTTACTTTATCCCTGGAACAGCAGAGCATGTCGCTGGTGAAGAATGGAGTATGATTTCCTCAAATATTATTTTCAAGATCATTTTACAGTGTTTGCTTCTGTAGGGCAGCCTCCCACAAAACTGAATTTCAGTGTATACTCCTCTCTATGCTAAATGTATGCAATGCATTCGGGCTGGCTGTTGCACCACTATCCTTCCTTCCACTCACCCTTATCTGCCCTCCTGCCATCCATCTTCCTTTCCTTCACCTTAATGTGCAGACGAAGTCATCAATTCCTTGGCGACTAGGGTCCTTCTTATCACCTGTTTCCTCTCACCTGTCACCTGGTTAGAGAGTGATGGTCGGGCCATCAATAGATACTTTCTATCCATTTTCCATTAATGTAGCTTGCCTAGCTCCTTTTCTCTTTCCTTGTTTTGGTCCTTCACTCGCTTTGATCAGTGTAACATAGTATTTATTATACCCTGTACTGCTCCAGGGACTCTGTGTCTTCTGAGAAGTTTTTTGTCTCCTCTGTTAAGAGGAAATGTTGTATGCATTTGCCATAAGTGGTGTATACTGTATGAGTGAAGAATATTTCGTCTTCCCTTGATTTGTGTTTATTGAGGATCAAAATAGTCTGAATTTAAATGGAACCCACATAATGTTTGCTGTGCTTATTCTACATCCTGAGTTCTTGTTGCTGTGGTTTCACCTTACAAAGCCTATAGCCCATACATTGGTGAGCTAGGCTATTTGTGAACATTTTGAGCACGCCTCAGTCCACTAAAGCTAGAGAAAGTGTGTGTTTTTAGCCACGACTGGTGCTGAAACATGGAAAAACACAAAGCGTTCCTCTTACATAGTGTGAGATGTAGCTAATGTACTGGGACAGCATGAGAGAGTGACAAGAGAGCCTGGGAGCATGTGTCTTATCAAAAGTACGAGAGGCGACAACCCTGATTTAAAGATTTTTTAAAAATGCAGACAGTGTAATAACTGTCAGTCTCAAAAATGAAATGGTTAGTACTCAGAGACACAGAGTGATGGAAGCACCTTAGTTCAGCTGGTCCGTTAAAAGTAACAGTAAACTACGTTGATCACTGCTCCACCTGGTGGACATAGACAACATTGCACCTGGCTTTCACACACTGGGCAGGTTCCACCGCGGTCCAGCCAAAAATCTAAGATGGCTACATGTTAGGGGGAAGAAGTGAATTGAAAATACGTGCGTAACCACAGGTCTAAACAATTTCATTCCCCAAAAAAGTTTAATTTAAAAGTCAAAAATAATGTTACTCGAAATGAGAAGCACAAATTATATCTAGTTTTTCCTGTAACATCTAACATGTTAGGTTTCCATATTGTCTGCTGTCACTGCACTCTCCCACTGGCTGTTACTATACTGTAGGACCACGTCAGCGTACTTCAGTCAAAACTGGAAAACAAGGTGGGGAAAGCTACAGGAACATATCAAACCCAATTATTTTGCCTTAAGATTCCTGTGATTCTACTTGGCATTATGTTGCTTGTTTGTTTTTCATTTCATACTCCTTTCATTTTTCTCTTTTCATCTTACAGTGAACAAGTAACACCTTCTGTAAAATCGTTGTTGGTCAACATGTCATGTTTGTTACATGTCTGGTATTTTGCAGTGTGTTCATAATATTCGGTGAAGGATTGGTTTCAGGATTGTGCATGCTCCTGCATGCACATATACAGGTGCATAAACATTACACACCTTGTGGCATAATTGTCACCTCCAAATCCTCCGCAGGTGTGTGTGTAGGTGTGTGCATGTTTTTCCCAGCTGCAGTATAAATCAATATTGTAAGCAAAGCATCTGTCTTATTTAAACCCAAATGTGTACATTATCTATGTGTTTGTAATTCAAACAGGAGAAGTGACGGAGGACGAGTGACTCAGTTAAAACTTCTTCAAATATGCGTGTTGTTTACGAGATGATTTATTCATGAATGGCTGTGTATTCCGTTTTGTGTAGGCTGTGTGTGTCACTGGCGCTGACAGAAGAATCACTCAAACAATCAGTAAACAACATGAAATGGAACTTGAAAGATTTAGTATAGACTGACCAAAGGTTAGCTGCTGGAAACAAATCTCTGTTTAAAAGTTACTGTATAGCCCCCCCCAAGGATGGAGCTGTTGTGTGTCATCATAATTCTGCCCTGCTTCTAGATTTTGACCCCAACCTCGGTATGATGGCTGGAATTACCCCCATGAACCCCCTGATGCCCAGCCTTGGCATGGTGCCTGCACCACTCTCCCAGGATGTACCAGTTGTTAAGGAGATCATCCACTGCCAGAGCTGCACCCTGTTCCCCCCCAACCCCAGTAAGTCATAAGCTGTTGTGACTCCTCACTCTTTTCTCTACTAGTGACATTGTTTAAAAAAATATAAAATGAAACTCATCCATTTGTGTAACATTAGGAACTTGGAGACAGCAGTTTGGAGACCAAATATTTTTCTAAATGTGCAGCTTATTTGTTGTTTTAAATGTAATTACTGTTAAACTGCTATTTTAATTAATCGTTTAATCTGCCAATTATTTTTTTGAAAGCTGAAAAATCTCGATGACTATTTCCCAAGTTGTTATCTCTGAATCACTTGCTTTGTCAAGTTCAGTTAAGAAAATGTGTAATTTTTCACATTTGAGAAGTTGTTCCCAGAGAAATTCTGGCATTTTAGCTTGAAAAATAAATCATTAATTGTAAAAGCAGTTTTTGTCACTTCAGCTCTAAACATTTTACAGCTTTGCCCAGAAGGTCTGCTTACTTTTCATCAGATGCAAGAAAATAGAATGTGACAAATGAGTGTGGGTATATCAGACGTCAGCATGTGTATTTGTTTGGATGATTCATCTCTGTGAGGATTTAAGATTATGCTTTTGTTACATGTCAGACTCATGAGGTTTATTAAAACATAGTTCACACTTGGTATTCCAATATGGGAAACATCAGTCAGCCATATTTTATTGTCCTCATCTTTCTGCCTAACATTTAACCTCATCGTGAACTGTGCACACAAGGAACTGTGGAAATTTTCAGGGCGAGTTACTTTTTTATAATCTGACTAGAGATGTGCTACACAAGATGTTATATTTATCTCACCTCTGCCTTCTAATGAGAAGGAAGGTAGTGGGGGGGACTTTGACTGAGCCCAGCTTCACTCTCCTGCTAGAGAGAAATATCTGCCATGGGAATTTTTTCAAACAAGTCTTACATGTCATCTTCAGGGTGAACTAAAGCAAAAGCTCGTCACCTCAGTAGCGTTTGGGAATTTACATTCCTTTCACAAAACAAAACACATTGGTGCATTCGTTTTGGCAAATATGTTTCTTTACCATGCCCATTAAAAAAAGCTTTAAAGATGTGTTTGTGTATCTATGTTGTGCGTTATGCCTCTGCATAAACTGTCACAATGTGGTGCAGAGGGAAAAGCTGATTAAAAGTTCAACTTCACCAAGCAACCTCTTTCTAGCTCATCCTCAGGAGCAAAGACAGAAACTGTGCAAGGGCATATATAAACCCTGAGGCTGAATGAGGAATCGTCTTGTCAAGAAATTATCCTCTGGAACCTGCCAAATTTGTCAACAATTTTTTATGTTCTATGTGGACTAGTTTATGTATACATTAAAACTGATACCGTGACTTAATGTGGATAAGATGATCTGTGCATGAAAATCTGGAGCTGCTTCAGTGCGTAATGATGCGTGCTCACAAAATTTAATTGGGAAACTTTCTCATGTTTGTACTTGCGTTCTACTTTTCTGCCTTTCTTCTCTGTCTCAGTTACTCCTAACTCACAGCTTTGATCCCCATCTGTACTTCAAATATTTTTGCCTGTCACCCTTTTTCAGTGTCACAATAAGCACTTAATCCCTAAACCAAGTATTTTGATTAGGCAGAAACCTGGGAGAAACTGTGCAGGCTTGATTCTTCTCAGTTCAACCCAACATCAAACATCTGGTAAGACCGTGAAAAAGCCAACCACCAAATGTCAAAGTAACACATGGTTACTGAGATCAGTAACTGCAATATAATTGTTGAATTAGGGCTGTGTGATGTGACCAAAGTCTCATGTCCCTTGACAGGTCATTTCATATTCAGGTAATGGTACTCTAACACCATATAGCACATTTTCAGTAAACTCAGTGGATAAATTGTTTATATAAAATGACCGAATGGAGAGGCTCATCTCTTAAAGGTCCTTACACTCATTTCATAAACTCAACTCAACATGAGTGTTTTTGGCTTGTGTACTTTGCATCGAGTGTTGGCACCAACTCATGAAAGCCTAGTTTCTCAACCGAGTAAACTGGGGCCGATGCAACTGCAACCCTTATCTCCGTCCATCTTTGCGATTCTTTGCCATATGGTGTGCCGCAGGCAAAAGTCTCTTGCAGTGTCTGAATGTGTTTGTTTTGAGCATTTCACTGGACTGTTGTCTCTCATCTGTAGACTCTCTCCAATGTTTGACAGGATTCTTGTGTAAGTGCTGAAAAAGGATAAGGGCATTTGAGTTTGTTCTGGGGACCGGTGTCATTCTCCTGCTCAGATGTGCCCTGTTGTATGTCACGTTCACCTTCTTCCTTGTGTGTTTGTGTGTGTGGCCTTCATAGACATTTTATGCCTGTATAGTTTATTTATTTTTTTTTTTTTTATCTAAAGCTGTCAAATGCAGTAGAGTAAAAATACAATGTTTGCCTCTAAAATGCAGTGAAGTCAAAATATGAAGTAGCAGAAAATAAAAATAATTCAAAGTACAGATACCTCAAAACTGTACCCAAGTACATCACATAAGTAAATGTACTTCTTTACTTCATGTCTTGTTTGTTTAATCAGCAATTCAAAACACCAAAAATGTTCAGTTTGCAAAACAGAAAATCTTCACTTTGGAAGGAACAAGCAAAGTTTTGACATTTTTTATTAAGTTATGAATCGATTTTCAAAATAACACTAACATCAGCGGTGCAACAGCCCTGTGTTTTAGATCTGAGAGTTATTGTTCTGAACTAGAATTATATTAAAGATGTCGATGGTTTGGTTTGGCAGGTTATACTGTTACAGTGATTGAGGAAAAAAGAGAAACAGCCACTGATGTTAGCTGCATTCAGGCTTTTAGCAAATACTGCTGAAGACTGCATTGCATGTGGGGTCCATTATAATAGCCATTACCCTGTAACCGCAGACACTCAACCTGACACCACATGTGGCCTCCCCTCTCACTGACCTTTGGCAGAGCAGCAACAAGCCTGCAGCCCTACGCCAGCTCTCATGCTCTCTCCATTTTTTTGCTATTTCCTGTGTGCATTGTCTTACCATCAGTCTGCATCATTATCCAGCCATTTCCTTGTGTCCTCCTTCATTTTCTCCAGTAAAACCCTCTTACCTTCTTCACTGCTTCTGTAGTGCTGCAGTGGGTGTATCTTTTATCTCTAAATGGTTGGCAAAGACTGCTCTCAACATTTGGACCTGTGAAATGAAGAAGGATGCTCAATTTAGTATTTTTTTTAAACTGTCTTTCTGTTCCTGTTGCCTCACTGCTCACACACTGATGTACTCGGGACTGTCATGTATGTTGTTCATGTGTCGTGATGTAATAAACACCTTTACTTGTGTATGTGTGTGTGTGTAAATGTGGTTTATCTTCTGAGTAACAGTCCTCGGAGAAGACGACTCCCAGTAGCAGCCCCTTGAGCCATAAAAAGGGTGTATAGCCAGTCGAGGTGATGGATGCTGATAACCAGCGTTAGTGTAACAAAGCAGTGGATGGTCACGTAGACAGCTGGTGCTGGACTGAGAATCAGCAGCCTTCACATTTGTCCACAGAAACATGTCAAAATAAAAGCGTATCAGCCAGGTTACTGGTTGGTAAATAATTCATACTGTACAACAGATTAAATCCTGTAGTGGCTTTTTTTTTTTTTTTTTTTTTTTTTTTTGCATTATAACCTAAGTTCTTTTAGAGTTTTTTGACATATTCAATAACTTGGGCAGTATATTAGAATCATCATATACAGTAATATAGTTCAGCTTTCAAGCACTCATTCCCTTCATAGCATGTCAATATCTGCTCTGTCCCCTCTGTTTATTCAACATTTTCTTTCTTCTACCCTGGACTGTTCATCCACCCTCTTTTCCGCTGTCTCCTCAGTTTCTCTGTCTGCATTTTAAAATTATTGTCCTTGAAGTTTTGTTCTCACAATTGTTCAAAGAGACACACACACTGAGTTAGAACAGACAGAAAACTATTATTTAAACTGCCTGGCACCTACAGGTTTTGAGTGGCTCTGCCTGTCTGCCTCAAGTTTACTGCTTTTATTGTTTGTATAAAATTCCAGTCAGTGAGGTTTTTCCACAAATGCTTTCATATATTATGTAATAACATGTGTTTACTCTGATTCAACCTGGAATTTCTGAACAAGACCAAGGTATCTGAATTACTCCACTCGGTGCTGATTAACCAGGATCTCATGAGACATCTCAGGTATCCAGCCAAGTTCAGCCAAGTCCAAATTCAACCCCAGTTTTTTCCAGTGTTTATCTACAGCGGTGGATCAGTAACCGTGATTGCAAGGCACTTTCTAGCAGACACCAGAAGTACAGCATCTTCAGCGTTCCACTGATTAGCTGGTTCACTCTTCATAGACCCTGCTAATCACATTCATCATGGATGAGAAGCCTGATCTGTTGGAGATTAGATCAGTCAACACTCATCCGTGTTGAATAAGTGATTTGAGCAATGCAGGGGCCCTTCCACATGAGAGCATTTGCAATCACTTTGTAGCCAAAAGGATTTCATTTTCATGCATGGAATGGTTTGATATTAACATTTATCTAACAAAAATGATCTGAGCAAATGGCTCTGAGTTAACATTATGCATGCATTAAGCTTTATCTTTTTTTAGGTCATGAGTGCTATGTTTAAAATATTACTTAATTGAATTTTTCAGCATCAAGCTCCAGAATGTAGTCCATTTTTGAAAGGTTTTGATCGTATTGTGTATGGATTTTCAAATTTAGGTTCTGCTGTGACCTGATCTTTGGTTTGACCTCGTGGCCTTTGAAGGATGTCATTTATGCCTTCTGGATACTATTTATTTCCAATTTCTTTTCCTTAGACATCATGAGGGGATTGGATGCTTTTTGCTGTTATTAGAATTTCACCTTTGCTTCTTTAGAGTCTTTCCTTAATCTTTTAAATTCATCTTCTTATTGGACATAATAAGACTTCAGTCAGTTTTGTCAGGTTTGCTCGGCCGCTCTGGCCTCCCTCACCTTTCCTACTGTCTCTTGCCCGTTAACACTAATCACGTTCACCTGTTCCTCAC